TTCCAGCTTGCGCAAAAGCTTGGCTTCATCATTGAGCAAGGTGAAAGTGACAGAGCTCCGGCTTTCCTCCTTACGGAATGTCCCTCGCCCGCGCCACAAGAGCTTGGTGTCCTTCTGCAACAACAACCGCACTATAGGTTTGCGGCGAGTGACTATATCACTTCGGCCACTAAAGCCAGCCATCAAGTAGTTGTCGGGTATAAACCTGCTGCCTATGATCGCGCAGGTCGATTTTATGCTGTCGGGAACACAGCCCAAAGGCCTGCCAGTGGCCCATGCTCGAGCTATGCTTAGGGAAGCCTTTTCTCCACTTGTTGCTGCAGTAGAAGCTGATCAGCTTGTCAAGAAATGGCCCCTTGTTATCATTAACAGTGCCACACCACAAGAAGCGGTTGCTTATCTGCAGAGACACTTGCAGGAGGAGCCTGCCCTTGAGATTATCCGCTTTGCTCATGAAGTACATGCAGCCAGTCGATTCGTCATGTTCGTATATTTCTTGTACTGTCATGTACTCCGAGGCTTTGCCAGTCGATTCGTCATGTTCGAAACTTTACATGGAAGCCCTCTTTCAACGCGGCATTCTCGTGACTATGGAGAACCCGCGAAACTTTCACTTTTGGGCTACCTCCTTCTTCTTGAAGCAGCATTGGAAGCAGGTACACCCTTTTTGCACGGATTTTCATGCATGTATGTTTGGAGGCCATCGCGCCAAGCAGACCCGCATTGTTACCAACTTTCCACAGATCCAACAGATGAGCATTGAATGTGATGGCGCTCATAGCCATGCCCCTTGGACGTTCGCGCTCAACAGAGAGGGGCAGCGAGTCTGGGCAACGAGCTTGGAAAGCCAATATCCCCGTAAGTTGTGCATTGCATTAACGCACATTGTTTTGCAGCTGGGGCAATCCAATGGCCTTCAGTTGTTGGCCACCTCTTTGCAAGACCTCGCATTGGACCCACACTCCACACCTCAGCAAGCGCAGATTGCCATCGGACTTCAACCTTACCGCAAGAAGATTCCTCCAATTGTGCCACGCTTCACTCTGTTTGACCTCTCTTGCCCACCAGCCCCTCACCATCCCACCACACTCACGACTGCTTCGGTTTTATCGCTCCTCCGATTCCTCATCCCAGGGGGGTGCGCTACAGGAATCTAAAGAGCTTGTTTCCAAGGAAGACGTCACCGATGAGTTTCCCTTTAGAGCTGTTTTTGGTTTTCCGTGGACACCTGAGAACTTCATCAGGAAAGCAGCTGAATCGGGTCATCCAGCCGCCGCGGACTTCGGAGTCCCGGAGGACTTGGACATTGCTTTGGAGCGACATTTAGCTTGGAATGATGCGCAATTAAACAGATACAGGATGGACTGGTGCAGACAGTGGCTGAAGCGGGCTAGTGAACTAGAAGCGGCCGAGCGTGTAGATAGGTCAAAGAGGGCTGAGCACGCGCAGCATAGCACTGACAAGAAGAGGTTGTTGCTCACGGAAATCCTGGAGAGCATTCAGTATGAGGACAAAGATGTGACGAAGTTCCTCCGTGAGGGCGCAACTTTGGCTGGGGAAATTGAACGTTGCAAGATTTTTGAAGATCAATTCAAACCCTGTTTGTTGACGCTTGATCAGTTGGAAGCTGGAGCGTCAAAAAGGAATCAGGCAATTTTGGCCATGACAACCACCTCCGGAGACGAGCAGCTCGACATGCAGTTGCTTGGTGAGACCCTCGATCGAGGAGCTTGAAAAAGGCTGGGCCAGGGGCCCTTTCCAGTTGCACGAACTACCCTATGGGTCAGTCGTATCCCGTAGGTTTCCGCTGGCTCAGACAAACAAGACAAGGATGATCGATGACTTCTCGGTCAGTGGAGTCAATGATTCGGTCTGCGTCGCCCACTCCAAGATAAGCCTCCACATGATCGAAGCCCTAGGAGCGCTGGTGCAAAAGTTTTTTAAGCCGAGCAAGGAGCGGAGTTGTTGCAGCAAACTACAAGCAAGGACCTTTGACCTCAAAAGCGCATACCGTCAAGTTCCGATCCTCGAGAGCCACCTGAAGTATGCGTACTTTAGCATTTACAACTGCAAGAAGCAAAAGGCGGGAATATATCAGCTGGTAACTCTTCCTTTTGGTGCCACACATCAAGTCTACTGTTTTCTTCGGCTGGCTAGAATGTTGCACTCAATGGCCTGCAGAGCGCTGTACCTCCTGAACACAAACTTCTACGATGACTTCGTGCTGCTAGCCCGCCCGGGCAGTGCTGGCACTGCAGGTCACAGCATGGAGTTGTTGTTCATGTTGACGGGATGGCAATATGCACGTGAAGGCAAAAAGGCTACATGCTTTGCTGAAACATGCCGGGCTCTTGGTGTAGAGTTTGATTTGAGCATGTCGGAACACCGCTTGCTGAAAATTTACAACACTGAACAAAGGAAGATTGACCTCATAGCGGCCATCACCTCTGCTGTTGAATGTGGGGAGCTCACCAAGCATGACGCCTTGGTATTACGTGGCCGACTCGGGTTTGCTGACTCCTCTGTGCACGGCAGACTCGGCAGGCTGGTTCTCAAGCGGCTTAGTGAGCATGCTTATTCGCGTCAAAAGAAGCTGGATTGCGATGTACAGCATGCACTCCTTGCCATGAAGACTCGGCTTGAAGAGGGCAAGCCTGTCACAGTATCTGACCAGGTATTATCGCAATGGTACCTATACACCGATGCCGCGTTCCATGTTGAGACCAAAACTGGTGGCCTTGAAGCCGTCCTGGTTGACCAGGAAGGCCGCTGTTCGCAATGGTTTGTATTTTTTTTGAGCACGCAGGATTGTGAACTGTTCGGCGCTGCTTACAAAGAAACCATAATCTACGAGCTCGAACTGGCGGCGGCAGTCTTGGCCATGGCCTTCTGGAAAAATGTTTTGCGCAGCAATCTTGTGGTATGGTTTGGTGACAATGACAGTGTACGCTATGCACTGGCAAATGGGCTGAGCTGCTTATTAAGTTTCACTTGGAAAACAAAGTTGAAAGCAACACGAAAGCATGGTTTGCCAGAGTGCCCACTGAGGCAAACATTTCGGACTACCCTTCAAGGCTTTGCCCGCGTCCATGGCTTCCTTCAGAATTTGAACGGACACGAGATGCATTGATTGCGTTCGAGAACTTGAAACGTTTTTTTGAGTCAACACGGTGGAGGTCTCGAACCAAATTGGGGGAAGAATGATCGAGACAACCCCCGTTCGAAAAGAAGTGCGAATTCAGTTCTTGCAAGACACCAAACAAACAATGACGACTAAGTTCGCCGTAGGTGATCGTGTTGTCACTGAAGTTTTAGGGAATAACCTTTTTATTCCCGGGTGTCTTGAACTTTTGACATTTGATGCTTTTTGGATTCAAGCAAGGGAGGGTGAGGAGGGGGCATTTGATTCCCAGTGAAGCGATCTGCGCCTATCGTGAGTCAAAAGGTTTTGGTATGGAACACCTACAGGCGAACATGCTGATCAATACCCCGTTCAATGCCTATTGAACAAAACATTTTTTCGTGTTCAATACCCCTGTTTCACAATTACACTTGTCCATTCCACTAAATGGGATCTCAAGATCGAGACAACCCCCGTTCGAAAAGAAGTGCGAATTCAGTTCTTGCAAGACACCAAACAAACAGTGACAATCAAGTTGAGCTGACGGACTCGAACTGAACTGTTCTGAACCGTTCGGATGTTTCCTGTTATGTTTAAGTTTTCTCTGTTTAAACATTTGCGAGCTCAAGAGTAGTTTCAAATAGCTTGGAACAGTTCGGTTCTTTTTAACCATTTGAAGCGTTCTGAACCGTTCGCAGGTATGTGGTGGGATTCCTTGAATCGTTTTGTTCGACGGTGGTTTGTGTGGTTGTTCCTTTTGAAATTACCGGAAACCTCTTCATGACTTTACATTAGAGTCATTAGAGACAAGGCAATCTTACAGTTCGACTATACAAATAGCGTTTACTTTCCGATAACGCTACAACTGTCATTCATAGCAAGGACACTAACTCACAAACTACTTGTAATACTTGACTGGGTATCCTTGCATCATGCCACAAATGGCTAAAAGACCACTGACGATCTTGACGCCAAGGCTTCAACAGGGATGATGAGTAGGCAGTAGCTGATATCAATGGGAGGTATGATACATTATGATGATGTGGCTCTGGTCGAGTAGAGCTTTATTTTTGCAACGCCGACCAGGTACGGTGCTGTGTAAAAGGGTTTGTGTTGCAGTGGCAGAGGTGCATGTGGCAGTGTGGCAATTAACATCACACAAAATATCCCACAACAACCATCCCAACTCCAACAACTTACAATATCCAGCACACGCACCATCATCCATTCTACAAGCTGTACCATGGGCCACAAGCTACACCTTGGAACGTGGAAATTTCCAAGGTTCATTTCCAACAACAATAACAAACCTCTTTCCACACCATTGGCTACAACATTGACATGTTCAATACCATTTTCAACATTTTTCCACAACATTGGCGACAACATGGAAATTTCCAAACCATTTTCCACAACATTGGCTACAACATTGACATGTTCAATGTTCAATACCATTTTCAACATTTTTCCACAACATTGGCGACAACATAAAAAATTCCAAAACCATTTTCCACACAATTGGCTCAACATTGACATGTTCAATACCATTTTCACTATTTTTCACAACATTGGCGACAACATAGAAATTTCCAAAACCATTTTCCACAACATTGGCTAGAACATAGAAACTTCCAAAACAAGTGTTCACAACATTAACGACAACATAGTTCAAAATCATACGGATTGTGCCAACATAGATAGAGAGGAATGCCTGAGGTAAACATTGTGTGTGAAAGCTCCAACCCCAGCCTTTTTGGCTTAACAAGATCTATGTAGTTGCCCCTTATGTTTACATTCAAAATGGCTTACCGATTAGACCAGCAAACCAACAAAAGATGGTTTTGTGATGTTTAGTTTTCACCTTGATTCTGCAATGAACCAAGATTAAAGAGCGATCAACACAATTCGCAATGATTTCTCATGATATGCCAACAGTGCCCGGCACCAATCATTTTTTTATCAAGAGAAGCGAGGTTTTTCGATCATACACCAAGGGTCAAATCATGGTCAATTAAAACAGCACTCCCCCGAGGCCCTTGCCAAAGCAAGCAGATCAAGGCACGTTCACCATCCATGCAAAGAACTGCGTGTGGTGTGGTGTTTTTGTTTGGCACTTCAACCAGGAGAAGGACTTGACTTGGTACCGTTGGGTGGCGAGCTTTTTCTACCACCAAGGCATTTTCATTGCAAGTCATGTTGGTTGCAAGGTTGTGCATGTACCATTTGTTAGCCAGTATTGTGGCCATTGATGTTGCGAAATGATTGGCGACAACAGGGCAGACGTGGCAAGCAAAGAAGGCCGGAATATATTTGTTTGTCGGTCAGTGTCAAGTGTCCGTATACCACAAGTCGTCAAATCTCTTGTGATTTGACAACTTTTCCTTCATTGTGCCGAGATCAGTTTACCGCATGTGATGCGGTTTGGGAACTGTTTTTGGTTGAGGGGAGTCGAAACAACAATAAACCTGCTGAACGGCACCATACCGCGCCAAGCAGCCCGACACACATACACACTAATTTGAATGCATTCGACAAAGTTGACTAAGAAGGAAGGTTTGCAGCCAAGTCCTTTTGTTGGTTCGGCGATTCCAAAAAGTCTTTAAATGTTGCGCACTGAAGCCTTCAGTATTTATCGCATAGGTGTCGAGGCGATGCCAGCAGAGCAGCTCAACACAATTACTGTGTGCACTTGAGCATTATGCAATCCTGCACCTTCGCCAACCAGCACGGCTTTGTGACTGAGTTTTGTGGAGCTTGCTGCTGCAGGGCCAGGGACTGAGAGCTTGGGAGTTTGTACCCTTTTGTCCGTGCAGAAGTGTTTTGTTTACACCACTTTTACGAGCGACCTGCATGTGGATCCACACTGCGCAGATTGAAGGAGGCCGTAGCCAAAGGTTTTTGTTTCTAGGCGCTTTTGTTCTGGATTTCGTATTTACACTACACGCCGCGAATACAGTCTTATACAAGTCTGGAGCTTCCATTCCTGTCAGCGCTTTGAATGCAGGCACCTTCGTCCAGTGACACGTAAACGTTCCATTTAACATATAAAGAATATACATATTTGTTTGTCTTTTCAGCAAATTTACATTTTTACATTCTGTTAATTTCTGATTCATGGCAGCTGCTTGTGCACGCATGTGTTCCGTGTTCCTTGTGAGATGTGACTCCCAAGTGCACACACAAAGTGGACCAAGGGATTTCTCTGCATGCGGGTCCGCCCTTTTGCAGGACTTGTATGAAATGGGAACAGTGTTCTGACCCCGTGTTTGAGCCAATTGAGCTGCAACACAGGAGCTTAAGAGTACGCATGAGAGTGATTTGCTGTAGAGGCCTCAGACATCGCTTGCCATTGCAAGATTGGGTTTGCGTGCTTTCAGAGGAAGGCTGACTTGCGGGCCAGCGGTGAATGCATTTGTATGGTGTTTGCCTGCAGCCCTTCCTTGTTGCTGGATTCCGCTCCCCAGTTTTCGTAGTATTTCTGGCTCTTCTCCTACGACTGTTTAGGCCATATACTGACAAAGTTGAGTTTCTGTAACTGTTGACAGATCTCAGTCCACTGGAGAGATCAGGCATGGGCAGACAGGTTTTGATCTATATATTTTCTTGGTGTAGCGAGCTCGGGATTGGTGGCACACGCTGTTCTAGAACTGGGACTCAGGCCGCTTCTTGTTGGAGTTCTAGGACACATTGGGGCAATAGAGTTTGCCGATAGAGGGCGTCAACGGCAGAGGCTTGCTGGTGTGCCACTGTAGTGATAGTGGTTCTCTCATGAAGTTTCTCTAAATCTCGCAGCCACATGAATAGTGCGTGAGCTTTCCTGCGTCCGTAGTAGCAGCTTCGTAGCTTACTCGCTACTCTTTCTTGCTTAGCTAGCTGCTAGCTACTTAAGCTCACTACGGCCGAAAAAAGGTGATTGATTCTGTTTGATCTTTGAGTCCAGGCGACGTGGTGCTTTTTCCAAGTTCGAGTCCTGGACTGAACACAGTCTTGTGGCTGATTTTTTGGTTTGAGTTCTCTCAGGTCCGTTGACGACGGAGAAAATGTGAAGGCTTGGCCTTTTGATTCATTGGAGCTTGGCTGTATACCTGAGCTTGCTTGTGTGGTTTCAGCTTGAGCTTGCTTTCAGGTTGTAGATGATCCGTTTGAAGCCTTCAGACAGTTGCGCCGTGCTGTCTCCAACTCATAGACTCTATTTAGATCTCTTTTTATTTTGCACGGCTTCCTCAGGCCTTCTCTTCTGATGCCAAAGTCTTGCTACGCCACGAGCTAGGAGACAGGCAAGTGATATCAAGCGGTTGGTGCTTTCAAGTCTCCATTCCAGTGAGGGGTGTTGCTGGGCTTGAGCTTGACAGCTTCGCCTGTCAAAGGCTTGAGGTGAACAGCACAGACCAGGCCTGAATCTGTGAAAGTACTAGTTACTAGTTTCTTTCCAGACGGCGGCACGGACTTTGATGTTGTGACTGCTGTTATTGCTCACAATGAGTCTTTTTGCAATGAGGTTGGATCAGAGATGCTTAGATTCGGATTTGCGGAGGGAAGGATCTTTGACGACATGAGGCCAAGTTCCACATGTGGCAGGCAATGCTTTCAATCCATCAAAACAACAGCTAGCAAAGCTAGATCTAGGCTGATGGTTGGCGGTTTGCCTTTCCAGCATAGCAATTAATGAAAAGCTTGACTTTCTTCTAGTCACCTAGTCCCCCACATGCTAGTGTGGGGTTCTTACTTGTTTTCGGGCCTCCCAGTCCTCCACCGCCTCCTCCTCCACGTCCTGCCCTCGCCGCTCCCCTCCCGTCGCACACACACACACACATTCGGGAAATGGAACGTACGAACTGAAAGCCTCATGCCACTCGCAAGTCTAAGTGAAAAAGTGCGACGAAGTCTTCTTGTAGTTGGCAGCAGGGACCAAGGAGAAATTGATTAGTTAAGATCCAGGCTCGTTTTCAGCACACGCCACCAGGCTCTTGGTGGTGATGCCCCTGCAAAGTTGAAACACATTGTCCATTAATCCAAACACAGGCAAGTGTATATACACAGATTGGAAAGTCTCTGTGGTCTTGAGCTTTGTTCTCTTTTCTATCTGGAATGCAATCGGATTTCAGAAAGAGGTGAAGGATGTGGAACATAACGAAGCTGCCACAACATTGATCAAGGCTGCAACAGATGCTTGAAGAATCTTCATCTACCAGCTGGGGCCTAAAAGGACTCCCTACAAATTGCCAACGGGTAACCTCTGTAATCTCTGAATCCAAGGTGCGCTGGCGCACGCACCTTCGTACGGAACTGAAAGCCACTTGCCACACGCCCACCTAGGTATGACAGCCTAAGGAGTCAGGTTAGAAATATGTAAGGCAGTCTGACCCAATCTCAAAGGCGGAAGTCTTGAATTCGAGAAACACGACGAGAACGACGCCGAAAGCTCACATCTGCCGACCTCAATCATCCTGCTACAGGGCCAAAACTAGGGTCCAGACTAAGGTGCGTGTGCGCGCAAAGGACAAAAGGATGAAGGGATGAGGAGAGGGAGACAGGACAGGACAGTGTATGTGGTTGCGGTGAAAAGGAAACAACCACCTGGGCGACCTCAGACCTGGGTTCCGTGTACAAGTGCACGTGCCCCTTCCCTGTTTAAAGGTGGGACATGGGTCCTGTTTTTGCTGACCTCCATTTGACCATGCTTGCTGAGGTGCTCCTGAGAAGCCTCAGGATCTATGGCCAGCTCGCGGCGCAGCAAGTCATGAAAGTAAATGTGAGGAGAGTTGGAGGGAAGAGAAGGAGACCCGCGGAAGCGGACAGAGCCCAAGACTCATGGCTGGGCCTATGCGACGTGGAGGGCACGACTTTGAGATCGTGCGGCCCTCCTGTGGCCCCCAATTTGCCCCAGTGTTTCCATGGGTTTCACACACGTCACGGGAAGCAAAATTCAAGTGCTCAGCGGTTATTGAACGATGCGCATGCAAACAACGACAACGGGAAATACAGATCGTGAAAAGAGGTCATGAGAGACGTGCGCAATGTGGGCAGCACCAACGAAGGGAACGGGGTGAAGGGAATCAAAAGATCAGCCAAAACTGATTGAGTGCACCTAGGGAGACCTGACCTAGTTAAGTTATATAAGTATTTATGTGCGCGTAAGGTCAGTGCCGATGTATGCACAAAGAAAACAACGAAATGAGGCGAAAGGATGTGAAGACGGAAAAATATTAAAACGTGAGGGGAAACAGTATGTGGTGGTGGCAGATGAAAGGGGGAACTAGATGGGGGTCGAAAAGGACAAAAACTTTAAACCTCCTTGTAAAACCTGGGTTGTTTAGCTTGTGAAAGTATGTGAGGGGTACAGCGCACATGGAACTATCATTGCGGGCCGGACAAGAACTCAGCAATTAATTTAAAAAATCCGCCACCTGCTTCCTGTTTCAGGCGCAATTCCGGTCTATGACCTGCTCCATGTATGCCCTGGCGTCAGGTCTCAACGAACCTTTGCAGGAAGTTTGAGGCCGTGACAGAAGTTGAACGAGTGCCTGCAGGACCATATATGCTTCCTGGCGTGCCCAGAGCGGCCGCGCCTTAGCGCAACCGACCAATACGGAAACATGCGCAGGGATCCAACCATGTGAAAATTTGTTGTAAGTGCAATAACTTCAAAGTTCCAAAGGCTCTAATGCTGAAACGTCGCAATAGAGAAAGGGCGAGCGGCGAAAGCGCATCAGCCTGAAGACCTTGCTAAAACATTCACAACTCAGGTGCAGGTACGCCGGGTACGTTGAGCGCCGTCCCACATTCATTCCGCGCTCCGCGGCTGAGGGCATCCAACAAGAAAAGGTAGCGATAGAAACCAAGGGCCCTAGTGATGTCATGGGCTTCACACGCGCACACACACACACACCAACTCACACGAACATACACGCTGCCCACAATTATTCGCTGACAAAGACACTCACACAAATAAATGCGCGCGCGTATATGGTTCTCGACTGCTTCTAAGCTACTCATACGGGCACGAGGGGCTTTCTGTTTTTTCTACTTTTTTGCGTCCAACAATCATGAAGCCAAGCTGTTCTAAGTGCTTGGATCACTCTGCTTTTCAGGCAGGCTTCCAGTGAGGAACATGCACAGGACCACATCTTTTGTGACGAGCCTTGCGGGTTTTAGCGGGCGTTTCGCCAAGAGAGCGGAGTTCAGCCACTTTGCCAAAGGTCGAGAGCGGGCGCTTCAATCCTTCTCCGGTTTGTTTGTTTGTTTGTTTCAGTGTCCGACAGTTTTACAGTTTTGACACGCCTTCACCAGCTGTTGTTGTAGATTTGGTGCTGTTTTCAGGCAAACCAGATTGATTGCAGTTCCATGCCTTGTTCGATAGTACGATGCAATTCGCTAGTTACAATGTTTTCCTATCGACTGTGAAAAACAAACTGTAATTAGACCAACATTGCCTCTACCGGTTAAAGATCATTACTTTTGGCTCCCAGCAGTGAAGAGGTTCCTTCCGCGAAGGTCCACAAGCCGCACTAAACGCTCTCGGAGTCGAGAGCGCAATGGACGTCAAGTTGAAGATGACACCAGTCCGTTGTGGCGCTGGGAGCTGCGTCGAAGAGTTCAGGCCCTTGTTGATGGCTTCATGGATCTCAACACTGATGCAAGCTCAGGGACAGGGCCTTCTCACTGCGTGTTGAAATCGTACAAAGTCAAGAATCTAACGAGGATGAGGAAGCAGAAGCAGCAGCAGAAGAACGTGAGGAAGCCCGATCCCAACAAGATGATACACACCGACGTCCAGCAAGACCTGAGGACGACAAAGTGAATTGGATCGGGACACTCTACATGTTGACTTCAAGACGGATTGGGCGGCCTCTTGAGAAGAATGAGACTCGATTCACAACAGATGACCTGTACGCTTCAGCCCAACCTCCTGCTTTTCAATCGTCTGTGGAAGCTGAACACTTTGCAGGAGGTCCATTTGTGGGAGAGGCTTGTGGAACAAAAAAGGCAGCTCACCACTCTGCAGCCAAAGCTGCTGTAGATACGGAATTTCTCAACGACGAACACTGCTGGGTTGACAAGCCGCTTGGAAGACATAGTCACAGATTTAGTTTGATCCTAGTGCGACAGAGTAGAAACAAACATAGTTGATCCCGATCCCTCCTTGTACTTTCCACTTGGGCATGCAGACTTGTTTTTTTGCGTTTGAAGCGTTTGAAAGCCCATGCCTATGTCATTCAGAGGCAGGCCAATTGGAAGAAAAGCCAGAAGAAGGAGCTTTGACTCGACCCTCGAGAAGGACTGGCCAGAGCCTCCATATACAATATTGTGGATAGCGTCGCTCGATCGAAGCCTTTTTCGATCGGCCAACACGCAGGGTCCTTGCCCAGTCTCGAGCACCGGCAAGTGTACACTTCTCGTTTTGTGCAAGTGTTTTGACCAATGGAGCTTACCATCAGATTCACATTGCTCCAAATCTATGTTGGTCAAAACATAGCTTTTAGTGCTCTTGCACCATACTCGCATAAGGTCCAACATGAATTTCTCGTGATCTTTCTGAGGAACACCGAGGGGCCCTTTTTAGTAAGAGAGTCCGAAACCATGATTTCACCCGGCGTCCATCTAATCTGTCCTCTGGTGGCGACCATGTCGTTTTTGAGGATGGTCAAGTCAATTGCCGCGCGCTTGTCCTCTATGTGGGCCGCAACATTCTTGGACTTGCTTAGATTGTCGAACAGGGAGCGAGAGTCCGTTGCTGCAATGAATGGAGTATGTCGGATCTTCTCTTGCCAGTTGACCAGCTTCATTCTGGATTTCTGTCCATAGGAACCTCATCCAATAGGATGCCCCAACTCCTTGCACCATGGCTTGAGCCTCTGCTGCCAGTGTGGTACTGTACATCTTTTCAACTTATGTATATAGCTTTTCCAACTCAGGATGGACAAGGCTTTTGGTGATTGCTCTGTCTCGAGGGCCTTGTCAAAGGCGAAGACGATGTGTCCACCTTGTGTTCGACCAACTTGCAGGAACCGCTCATGGATTTCAATCTTGTTCTTTCTGGCCCTCTTTTTCACGAAGACGGTGTGTCCTTTCCATTCATCCTCTCCATGCCTTCGAAAGTCTTGTCGACGGTTCCAAGTGCCCTCAAATAATTCTCCATCGACCCAAGTGGCTCTCTCCGCTTCTAAGTCGTGCATTTGTGGTCCTTTGGAATCAGCTCCTGGATGAAATAGCAAGTGTTGGGGTTGGACATGGTGTCTAATCCACAGATCCCCCTTTTTTTCCCAGAAGTCTTTGCTGCTTTCTTCGAGCTCTTGGCACGGTGTGTTGCCCCAGCTAGCATCTGATGCAGCTCCAATTCTGAGGCTCTCGGGTGGTATCGGTGCGATGATGACGCTCAATCTCGTGGATGGCTTCGGTTGCCAGGCTATTGGCCTCGATCAGATCACGGATGTTTGGTTTTGGCATGCATTGTTGAAGGGTGCATACTCTACCCATCAGGTCTGGCCTTGCTTCTTTTGCTAGCCACGCAAGAGATCCAAGTAGAGCTCTAAGCTCTGAGATTTCTTCGTCGGTGCAAAGGTTGTATTTTTCTTTCTTTCTTTCCTTGTTGAGGGGGATGGTTTTGATCTTTTCTTTGACGTACATGTTCTGGTGGATCTTGATCCGTCCATCTTCCAAACATTGAATTTCTTTTCCAACAGATCGGCCATCTCCCTTGGTGAGCTTTCCTAGCTTGTAGTGTTGTTGGACCCAAGTCATGTTGTCCCCATGACGTTTGCCTCCTCCATGAAGTAGATCATCCGTGGCCACACCGATGATGCCCTCAATCCGTCGTCCTTGTTCTTCGTCTTGTCCTTGTTGGTGGTTTTCTTTGAAGAGCATGAACAAGCAGGGATCTGCTTGAGATTGTTCGTAGCCAAATTGTTTGAGTGTGCTTTGGAGGTGGACGTACCATTGATATGGACCATCTAGCAACCCATAGCAATGTTTCTTCAGTTTTACTCCAGGAAGGCCTTCGCTTGGGAGTTCCGCGAAGAGCAAACGAGAGATCTCGTCTCCACTATGAAAGGCTCGGGTGAAGTCCAAATATCCAGGTTCTCATTGATATGAACCCAATGTCTGTAGGACCAGGAGGACGGTCTCGGGAGCGACTTGTGGAGTTGCCGCTTCTAGCCATTCAGAGTCGGGCTCACTGAAACCCTTCATGACATGTCGGGCCTTCGCTTTGAATCCTCCATGTTCATCTCCCTAGATCAGTAGCCCCTCATCCTTGATGGGTGTGACCTCGTCGGGCTCGATCCGTTTCTCAACCAAGACGTAGCGGGACTGGAGGATGTTGCAACCTGTTCTTCGAACTTCTTCCAACTCTTCGGGAGATAGGATCTCGTACGCTCCGGTGTTGATGTTATTGTTGACCTCTTTCTGGATCGCTTTGAGGAACGTCTCCCTTGCAAATGGGAGCAGATCTTTCAATTTGATTTCTTTTTGACCTTTGATCTTCTTCATCTCCGGGATGAGTGTCTGGAACATGATCTCCGTTCAGTCAATCTTTTGTCGTTTCTTGATCACCTCTTCCTCTTCCTGATCCTCGTTCTCCAGGGGTCGTACTTGTCCTCGATGTTGTTCTTCCTCCGTATGTCTTGCTTTCTTTTCTACCTGTTCTTGTACTTGATCTTCTTCTGGACGTTTAGACTCCTTCTAGTTCTTGTCCCCCTCTTTGCTTGAGTCTTCTTCTATTGGCATCTTGATTTCTGGTGTGACCTTGAGTCCTTTGACTTATCCT